TGGCTGCCAGGGCACACTGCTGACTCATATTGAGCCTGTTGTCGACCAGCACCCCCAGATCCCTTTCTGCAGGGCTGCTTTCCAGCCACTTCTCTCCCAATTTATACTTGTGCCCGGCGTTACTCCATCCTAGGTGCAGGATCCGGCATTTGGACTTGTTAAATTTCATGCCATTAATGATTACCCAATGCTCCAATCTATCTAGATCCCTCTGCAAGGCCTTCTGTCCCTCAAGAGAGTCAACAGCACCTCCCAGTTTGGTATCATCAGCAAACTTGCTAATGGTGCATTCAACTCCCACATCCAGATTGTTGATAAATGCATTGAACAGAACTGGCCCTAGAATTGAACCCTGAGGAACACCGCTGGTGACCGGTCACCAGTCAGATGTAGCCCCACTCACTACAACCCATTGAGCTCTGCCCTTCAGCCAGTTCTTCACCCAACGCACCAGGAACCTGCTCATCCCACAGTTGGACAACTTGTCCAGAAGGATGCTGTGAGGGACAGTATCAAAAGTCTTACTAAGATCCAGAAAAACTACATCCACCTCCTTCCCTTCATCCACTAGGCAGGTGACCTTATCATAGAACGATATCAAATTAGTTAAACAGGACTTTCCCTTTGTGACCCATGTTGACTGTGCAGTTAACTGCAGTGTAGTTAACTGCTGCACCCTTTATAGTAGGTCAGGTTTCTACAAATGTAACTAAAGGAGTAGAACAAAAATGTTTGATCAAAGCAATACTTTCTGTATCTGAAATCTAATAAAGATAAATGTTATTAAAAATAACAATAATAATGTTATCAACCCCATCTGAGGTTATATGCTAGTGTCATTGGCAGCAGTGGCAGTTCTGCACTTTCTGCTTGACAAAGAGAAGCTGCCAATTCCCAGTTGTAAAGTGGAGAGTCAGTGAGGGGCTTGGCACACTTGCTGATGCCAGTGCTTGTAGGCAGAGCAGCTGGCAAGATTACACATCATTTTTCACCCTAAAGTTAATAAATCTGTGTGGAGGATGTGTGTGTGATTTAGTGTTGAGGAGGCCCAGGAGTTCATAATTTATGAGTTTGAGCAGAAGAGCTGCAAAATTAATCTTTACAATAGCAACACCTGTTCTTTGACTCAGCTTTTAATAAATTATATGTGGATAATATTTACCACATTCTTTGAGTACTTTGAGATAATAGCAGCCAGGTGTAAAGCTAGTTTTTTGGTAGTGGGAAAACTAACAATGCAAAAAGAGAAGCTATGTGAGTCACCTTGAGTTCTTTTAAATTAATACCTTCTGGTCAGTGTTCTACAAGAAAAAAAAAAGAAAAAATTTGGGGGTAACAGTTACAAATGTAGTCAGATGTAAGAGTTTAAAGAGGCTGTTTTCAAAGCCAATGATAGCTGAACAGCATTGGGTCACTTTGGCCTCTCAACATCTCCCAACAAATATCATTTGCAAAACAGATATGACAGCGCACATCTTGTCTTATGGAAATAAGATCTAGGTTCTCACTTCTTGTAAATCAGGCTTTACTTTCTAAATCCTTCAGGCTCTCTGACAGTATTTTAAATATTTATCCTTATCAGCAAGATCCAAAGATAACTGGAAGTCAATAATTTTTAAAGCTTCATACCAATTATGACAAAATTTGAAACCAAATAGATACTCATATAAAAGAGTATAAATGATTACAGCTTAAAGGATTTGTTATGTTAAAGAAGGAAAGAAAAACATTTTTAAGAAGCGTTGATTTTTTAGCATATCCTCTCCTTCCTCTTTATGTGCTTAATTAACTTTGTGGCCATATGTCAGAGAGAGAGATACGTGTATCATTATTTGCTCTTGTAATGTAAATTTTGTTATTAAAAAATAGGAACCAACACATGTTTTTTTAAGAACTACTATAATTTAGTAACTAAATCTCTTCTGCTTGCTAGATGTGTTCTCCTTTGATACTCTGTACACACTGAGCAAAGAGAAGTGAAAATGACCAAGGCAATATGATCCAAAATCAAGAGTTTGTGGTTCTTTTTTAATTTTGCTGTTACTAAAAAGCCTGTAGACAGGGCCTTACGTGTCTTCCTCCTCAAACGTCATTCTGAAGACAGTTTCCCATTATTACCCATAGAAGTTTGCTTGCGTGCTGATTCTTTGCAAAGAGTTTCCAGAGGATGCAGAGAGATCATTCTTGGAAAGAGGAGGGATCTGGAGAATATATTTACCACTTCCACAATACTTCAGTTTGGTGGGAGTTCTTTGAGCTGGCAAAAGTAATTTTCTTCTTTATGGGCTACTGATGCAAGGAAACAGAAGAGCTGCATCTACAACCACCAAAGCATTTCTCAGACAGCTTTTATGAGAAGAAATTTGGCCTTTCAGGGGACTGGCAAGAGTCAGCTTGAGTTTTCCCTTGAGAACAGGTCCTACAAAGCTAGGTTGGAAATTTCTAATGCATCACTAGCTTCCAAGAGCCTTGAAAAGACAAAGACCGTCTTTTGGTGTAATTTGACCTACTAGCTGTAGTCCTGGCTTGAATTTACTGCCCAAAAGCCTGAGTCTGCTTTCTTGGGTGCCTAACTCAAGAAGTAACACACAGAGCAGATTTCCCCAGGTCTCACAGCCTTGGACATAGAGGATCCCTACCTGCAGTCAGTCCATTTGGATGGATGTACATGATAGGTAAATAACGTAGACTCTTAGCAAACTTGCTACTCGGTTAATCCGTATTAAACATATATCTATGTGTCTATACATTCCTTTGCCCTAATCCACTTAAGGCATGTCAGTTTCTGTAGTCAATGGCACACTAAGTGGTGTGGCTACTATCACTTCACTATAACTTCAACTTGCCAACAGGAGCACTAGATGCTCATTTCTAGCTCGGCTGATCTGGGAC